AGCCCTGGCTTCTCCTGGAGGGGATGGGGTTAGGGGGAGGTGCAGGTGAGCCTGGGCAGATGTTATGGACCTTTGCCTAACCTCTTCACTGGTATAAAGGCGAAGGCTCTCACAATTATCGTGTTTGCTATTATCGCTATTTTTAAGCACTTAGCCTGTGCTGGGCACTGTGCTAAATTCTTTTATCGCGCATCATCTCTTTAAAGCTTTACAACAGATCAGTTTATGAGTCAGATATTCTATCTCCCAGAAGTTGCTCAAGACTGCACAGCTAGAAGCAAGGAGGGAACAGCAGGCCATCAAGGCGCTGACATAGCAAGAATCTGCAGGAGCACCCATACAAACCCTTTATTTTACACATGAAGAAACAACTGCAGAGGGGACATGCTTTGCCCAAAGTCCCACAGAGAGCACGTGGCCAACCATAACAAGGGGGACTTCTGCATTACAGAGGACCATGAGCCATATACTGACCAGAGGCCCGAAGCTCCTTGAAGGCAAGGACCGCATTGTACCATTTATTCCCTACTCCCTCACCACTGTGCCTAGCACAGGGTGCAGCACAGAGCAGGTGCCCCAAAAGTCCTTTGTGACGGGTGCAGCTTTCATCCCTCAGTAGCTGCAGTCACCTGCCATTCCTGACTTCATTCATTTACCCAGCATTTAGTAAGCACTGACTGTGTGCTTGGCATCCTGCTAGACAGTAGGGTGCACAGTGAATAAGACACAGTCCTTGTACATAGTTGGCTTATCTCCTTCTGGGAGCTTAGGGGTTATATACATTATGGCATGTGCTCCTATGGTTCCCTCATTCTCAACTCAGGCTTCCTCTGCTCTTGTGTGGTAACTTGCAGCCTGCTCCCCGCCCAGGCTGGAGGCTGAGCAAATCTGCTCTGCTCTCCTCCCCCAGGCCATTTCCACTCTCTTCTTCTCTGCCGGCCCTAACATCCCCTCCTTCGGAGTTGCCTCGCTCCTCTTGTCCGGGAAGCCCTCTTTGACTAAAGTGCCTTAGCTGCTCCTCACGCCCCAGTGCTGAGGTCTTGAGCTCTCCCTAGGTATCTCTGGTTTTGTCTCTCTGTTTCTGTGTGGATTCCCCCTCCCCCGCCACCCCCATCAGCCTCCAGAGCTTCCCAAACACAGGGGCCATCTTCCTTCCAGATGTTTTTCTTCAGGCCTAAATAAAGCAGGAGAAGAGGCAGGAGGGGAGGTAGTGCAGTCAACCCCCAGCACAGGGAGCCTTCCTTGGGCTCTGGACCTAGGACCCCCTTAGAGGGTGCTGACTTTCCAGTCTTGACTCAAGACCTCTGAGCCCTGATCTTCCGTGCTGAGCCTGGAGGAGCAGGCTGGGCACCATCAACCTCACTGCCCTTTGTGTTTGAACATGGGGACCTTCAGTCTCCAATTCACCAACTCTTGGGTTTGGTCATTTTTGCTGCTCCTATGACAGGCAGTCTGCAGGTAAGAAATGGTTCTGTGGAACCAAAATGCATCCTCTTCCCTGCTGGGTGACCAAAGTTACAATGCTTGGTCTGTCTGGGCTTCAGCTAATGATACTTGTCCTGCCTGTGTCACAGGTGGTAAGTAGGGCCAGAGATCAAAGAGAAGAAAAAAAAAACAAGCTTAGGTAGAGGTTTATTTTTGTTGTCCTATTCAGAGTAGGGGTGGCACCTTTGGCCAGGTATACACTGAATCACTCCAGAGGGCAGGCATGAGAAAGAAAAAGAAGGAGGGAGCTTGCACAAGGAGGGAGAATCAGACTCCAAGCCTTCCAGAGAACCGTTCAGGACCTGCCTCCAGGAACGGGGCAGGAGAGTTTCCTTGTTTAAGGGAATTGTTGTTTCTTTTCCTTCCTTCCCTTCCTTCCTTC